CAAATTCCGGGCGTGCACCCAGGTGGACGCCCCCCCCCCCCCCGCCGCTTTAATACAAGTTAAATAAATTCAGTCATAGTTATGTATGTTCATTCTAGCGTGGTCCTAGCGCTGTGCAATATTCAGCATTACCAGAACATCAAAACATTTCACAGCATAGCGTTGGACTAAGAAATAGAGGTCGAAATATTTTCAGACACACAAGCACACACTGGAATATAAAGAAAAAACTCCAGTGCCGAAAAGCAGTATGCGATATTAGACAGTCCGTATTTGGGCCCCAATGGCTTGGTCAAATACCGTCGAGAAGAGCATAATTTGAAAAATTGAAAGAAAGACGCTCAGGGGCTCCGCTTGACACATTTAAATTTCTATTTTAATAGAATGACAACAAATAGAACGCCGCTCCGGGATTTTCTCTGGAATATTCCGCTTACCAAGTTTTTATATAGGTCTGACATTTCTGATTACGTTTCTACAGATCATACACATGTTATGAGATGACAATATAATCCTCAGCTCAAAACCTTGATCTAATGACGTGTTTTTTCTCCTATATTTACTGCTGAAATTTGTTAAATCTAGTACAATAGATAATAATAATAATAATAATAATAATAATAATAATAATAATAATAATAATAATAATAATAATGAGTCCGAGGTACGGCAAGTGTATGTTTCTTACTTGAGCGAAGGGATCTCTGGTTTTGATTTTTGTGAATAAGGTCTGATATGTAGGGTGGTGTCAATCCATGTAGTGACTTGTACGTGAGTAGTAAAATTTTGAAGTGTATCCTATAGTGAACTGGCAGCCAATGCAATTTACGAAGAACAGGAGTGATATGATCAAATTTTTTGGTACGTGTAATTAGACGGGCAGCACAGTTTTGAGCCCTCTGAAGCAGGTGTATTTGTGAATTTGGTAAGCCATAGAGTGAGGCATTGCCGTAATCCAGTTTAGCGGTTATAATAGAGTGAATGATAAGCTCAGATAGATGTTGGCGGAAAATGAGTCTTATGCGTCTGATATGCATGTATATGCTCTGGCATGTACTGATGATGTGCTTACTGAACTGAAGTGAATCATCGAAGATGACACCAATGTTGCGAGCTGCTTTAATAGATGGGCTTGGAACATTTGTTCATGATTTTCAAATAAATGTGTGACCATAACATTCCTTTAAAACGGGGGGGGGGGTCGTCACCTGCGTATGCGTCAGATGGCCATATGCGTGTCATTATTTACAAACAAGCGTCTACCCACGAGCCTTTGCGTTGTTAGATTGTGTTGTTATCGTCGCTTGGGACTCAATTCCCGCGCGTGCGCAGATGACGACCTCCCATCACGCAGTACGCGTTCCGCATTCGTGTAAGCCAAACATATATTTTACAAACGTTGTACCTACGTTGCATGGCATCCACATCGAACACGTGACGGTGCGATGACCGTGCGCTTTAAAGTGACTGGAAGTAATTATTATATAACACATGGGGTCACATCACGCTCGCGGCTTTATTAGTTTTACGCCACCGGGGCTTTCTTGGTAGCCAAATGCATTACATGGTTATAACTCATTACGTTTACACGGATCACAAACAAACGGAGCAGGTACGTACTGTATTTACTATGTCTGTCAGCTTTTCGGACTTGTCTTTGTATGAGAGCAGTGGAGCAGCGTAGCCACACACACACAAACATCCTCCCGGGACGAGGACCCGCTCAGCCTCCTGAAAGAACTGCTGTTGATCGAACCAATGTATGGCTTGAAATACTGTCACCAATGAAACACTCTCACGTTCAGTGGGAAGTTTGTCAGCTGGCGCCACTCTGAAACGAATGTAACATAACAGTTCGTATAGCATCGACAATGTGGCCAGCCACTGGCTTGGGATTCGTATTTTATGAAAGTTATTGAAACCTTAGATACAG